TATTTTGACAAAAATAAACTGCATTTTATTTTTTCCCATCAATTTTTAAACTTTTATTAGTACGTGTGTGCAATATGTAACGATTACATTCACTATAGGAATTTTTTTCGCTTCTGTCCAACTCCCCAACAAAAATAAATTTTAAACTTTATAACCTAAGGAAATTTCAGCAACTTGAGAAAGACCATTCTGTAGGGGGCTCCCGAGTAGCAGGACAGGCAGGGAACTTTACTGTTTTTTTTGTTTGTTTGTTTGTTTTCTTTTCTTTTTTCAAGACAGGGTCTGGCTTTGTAGTTGAGGCTGGCCTCAAACTCTCAGCAGTCCTCCTGCCTCAGTCTCCCAAGTGCTGGGATTCCAGGTGTCTGCTACCAGCAGCAGGGAGGGGAATGTTGTGTTCCTTCTGTGTTCCCTCATACTTTGCTCCCATCCTGCTCCTCCAAATGCACGATCATTTTCATCATCATCGCCATCATCACCATCACCACAAGAGCTGGTGGGCACTGCGGGCACAGCTCCTCTGGCCAGGACACAGAGGACAGGAAACATCACTTCCTTCTGTCTATTTGACCCTTGTGCCCCAGGGGGGAGCTGTGTCCGTCCCCCTTCTCTAATCTTCAGGAACTTGACCTAGAACCCTTCATTTGTTCCTATAGAATCTCTCATCTGTTCCTATGAAATACCTTTCCCCAAATCTAAACATGGAATGCAGATACATCCATAAAAATAAGTAAAGCCTGGGCTGCGGATTTAGCCCACCACACCTGTCTCACAGGCACAAGACCCTGAGTTCAATGCCTGGTGCAAAAAAAAGAGCCAGGCATGGTGGCACACAATTGTAATCCCAGCACTCGGAAGGCTGAAGCAAGAGGATTCCCACAAGTTTAAGGCCAGTCTGGGCAACATAATTAATTCAAAGCCAGTCTGAGTTACCTAGGAAGACCCTGTCTCAATAAATAAATAAGTAAATAAATAAATAAATGAGGAAAGAATTTGTAGGGGAGACTTCACCCTAAAGACCCCAGAGCTGATGCTAGAAATCTGGCTCTTGGTTTTGTTCATTTGTTTTGCAGAATGGGGGCTTCTCAAACTCAGGGCCTCACACATACTACAGAAGTCCCTGACCTCAGAGCTACATCCCCAGCCCCGGCACTTCTAGTATTTTAAACTCTGCACTGGCCCTTGCTGGCCGGTTATTCCCATCTCTGAACTCTTTGCTTCAATGAAAACAGACAGTAAACTTCCTAGGAATGTTGGGAAGATAAAGTCGACCAGAAAGGTAGAAGTTACTACCACAATGGCCCCGGACTAGTTTTCCTAGCTTTGAATCCTTGGGCAGTTAGCCTGCAGGCAGAAGGAAAGGCTCCTTCTTGGAAATCTTCCAGTGAGGATGTGGCCTTCTTAGCCTGTGTGGCACCCAAGGTTTCAGTATCCTTCCTCGTTCTTGAGTTTCAGGAATAGGGTCAGGTAGCAGTGCAGGAGTCACTTAAGACCTCTGCTTTGCTGGAACACAGGTAAGAAACATTTCTCCAAGCCTTTAGTTCAACTAAAATACGGAGATCACAGCATCCGTAGGAGCTGCTGAGTTGGATCACGAAGTTGATGTTAAATCATGAAGCACCTGGTGGCAACTGAGTGCCCCTCTTCCCTGGAGCCTCCAGCCAGCCGCCCAGGAGCACTGGTGATTAGCAGAGAGATGCGTACCGCGCTCTGTCTTCAGGTTTCCCCCAGATCTAGAAGCAGCTCTGTAGCCAGCAGGTGGCCGAGCTGTTGGGCATCCTCTGCTTATTCCTGGGGCCTTCTGGTGGAGGAAGGAGTGGAGACGGGGTCTGTTTTTAGTTTTAGCTGCCACTTCTCTGATGCCATGGAGAGGGTAGCAGGTTGGGAGGGAAGCAAATGCTACAAAAGCAAGGAAGAAATGTCCAGGCCCCTCCCTTCCGAAGTCACCCAGCCTAGAGATGAGGGCAAGAGTGACAGGTGCATGGAGGAGGAAAATCCGGCACCGTGGGGTGTTCTCACCTGTGGGAGAAGCATGAGTGGGCACAGAGGTGCCTGCGGGAGGTGCTCAAAGTATTGATGGCCTCCTCGGGGTGTCTCTTCTGGGCAGAGACCTCCATGAGGAGGGGCTTTCTCCCCTGCACACAAAGCTGGAGACCAGAACAGGAATAGCAGCATGGGCTGTGCAAGACGCTTTACCAAGCCCTCCCCTCACCAGGGTCTGCCACAGCGCTTCACAAAACCCCACCAGCCGAAATGCTGCCATCCTTGCTTTACAGAGGAAGAAACCAATGGCACGTGCCTGTAATCCCCACACGCAGAGGCTGAGGCAGGACCACTGCCGTGAGTTCAAAACCAGCCTTGGCTATATACCAAAACAAAAAACAAGCCTTGGAGAAGTCAAGCCACTTGTCCTACATCTCATCACTCCTAAGTAGCAGTGCTGGAACTCAAAGCCAGCCCTATCTCCTCCGTCCATCAGAAAATGCCCAGCAGCCTGGGGAGCTCTCTGTGCAGTGCCCCCTCCCCTACGGGGATCCGGCCCAGCCTCCCTCCTGCTCTCTCAGGCCCAGGAAGTGCAGGCATCTCTCACGGCGTTTTGATCAGCATGGGCAGCCCTGGCAGCAGCCGGGACAGTATTGAGTGCCTTCAGTGGGGAAGGGGAGCAGCCCATGGCAGAGCCCTGCTCTACCTTCCCCTGAGCTGGTGGCGCCTGGAGGGCACCCCGTCTGGAGCCCAGGCCGTCTTCAGCACTTCACTTCCTACAGGGGATGGCAGTCCTTGGTGGTCTCTATTTCATTTATTTTTACTTTTTTCCCTAGTGCTGGAAATTGAACCTCGGGTCTCTAACCACTGAGCCGTGCTCTCTACCCTTTGTTTAATTTATACCGGCACTCGGGAGGCTGAGGCAGAATTGCCAGCTTGAACTATATACTGAGACCCTGTCTGAATTAAAAAATAAAGTGTACCTGCTGTTAAAAAAAAAAAAGGACAGTGAAAAAGTACCCTATATAGAAAGTTCAAGTCCCCAGATATGGGTTACTGCATGCTCTCTTCCCTCATGCTCCTGCCAATCATCCCCTAAACCCTATGAACCAGGTGGTTTCTATGCCCTTTTTGCAGAAGGGTAAACTGAGTCACAGAGTAAGTGTTTTATGCCAGATCATAGGGTAGGAAGTAGAAAAGGCAGGATTCAATCTGGGGGAGGCTGGTCATACTCTAGCATAACATCATGCTGCTTAGTGGTTTAGCTAAGTGTCTTTGTAAGATGATTTTTTTTTTTTTTTTTTTTTTTGTACTGGGGATTGAACTCCAGACCTTGTGCTTGCAAGGCAGGCAGCAGAATCACTGAGCTAAATCCCTGGCCCTGTAAGACGAATTCTTAAACAAAGGGCAGGAATTCTGCTTTGAAAAATATTTCCTACTCTAAACTTGATGTGGGGATGCACGTCTGTAATACCAGGGTTCAGGAGGCTGAGGCAGGAGCGTCCAAGAGTTTGAGGCCAGCCTGAACTACACAGAGAGACACTGTCTCAAGAAAAAAGTGTTGTGTGTAGTACCAATTTCCCACAATGAATGTAATCAGTATGTACTGCAAACACGCTAATATAAATAAAATACTTTTTCCTCTTTGGGCACATAGACAGACATGTAGGACAGACAGATGAATAATAGGTCTCCCACGGTACCCTAGACTTCTGCTGTCTGCATATGCTACCTGTTGGCTTACGTCTCCGGCTGAGACTGGGTCAGGTCGCATGGTCCGGCCACGGGACCCCTAACCTTGGTGCTGTCCTTCCCAGGCCCCGGCCGGCGGCATGCGACTTCCACGCGTCTCCTGCTCTGCGGTGACTGCGCTCCTGCTGGCCCAGACCTGCCTCCTGCTCCTCCTGGTCTGGCGCCAGAGACCCTCGCCCCCAGGCGGCGGGGAGGAGCGCGTGCACGTGTTGGTGCTGTCCTCGTGGCGCTCGGGCTCGTCCTTCGTGGGCCAGCTCTTCAGCCAGCACCCAGACGTCTTCTACCTGATGGAGCCCGCGTGGCACGTGTGGGCCGCCCTGTCGCGGGGCAGTGCGCCCGTGCTGCACATGGCAGTGCGCGACCTGGTGCGCTCCGTGTTCCTGTGCGACATGGACGTGTTCGATGCCTACCTGCCCTGGCGCCGTAACCTGTCCGACCTCT